AGAGACAGAGAGAGAGGCAGAGACAGAGAGAGAGGCAGAGACAGAGAGAGAGGCAGAGACAGAGAGAGAGGCAGGATACGTGACAGCAGCATGCAGGCGGTCCAACTGCTGCGTGTGGTGCAGGATGAAGAGCAGTCCGAAACCGAAGACGCCCATGATGTGGGCCGTCAGCGACAGCAGGAACAGGAAGAAGTAGCGGTAGTTGCGCCTGCCTATGCAGTTGTTAACCCAGGGGCAGTGGTGGTCGAAGTCCTGGGGGGGCAGAGGGGATGAGGTCAGACCGGCTGCAGTGCAGACGCATGCACACATAGACGTCGCCTCCCACAGGGACCCCGCCCTGCTCACCTCCACGCAGTTGTCGCACACAGAGCAGTGGGAGCAGCGTGGCGGCCGGTAGAAGCGGCAGGTGGAGCACCACTTCATGCGCACCTGGATCCCCCGGATCTCCACCGTCTTGTACAGCGGAGCACGAAAGTCGTCCTCTTTGTCCTCGTCTTCCTCAGCTGGAAGGAGGACACGCGTGTTCATCGCAGTCATGGCCAGAAAACAAAACACAAATACGGAACCATCGTCATGGACTAAAGGTTCCACTGCTGGGCAACTTTCTGGGGAAACTTGGGATGGGCACCTGACCCCACCCCCAAAAAAACAAAAGAAGAAAGCCACTGTGCTTTTCCACAGATACCTCTGGGAAAGATGCCCGGGTCCATGAAGGTGGCCATGCAGAAGTTTGCCAGGACGAAGAGGAAGATGACCCCATTGTAGACTGGCACAGCCATGGAGATGTACTCTGCCAGCCAAGGGCACCTGGGGAGGGACAACGGGGACCATGAACGGGCGGACGGGTGGAGGAGCGGAGGGCTCCACCCCTGAGCTGTTGCCCTGCACAGCTGCCCATTTCCATGTCGTACTCACGTGAAGCAGAAGAAGAGCGTGGTGGAGCCCACCAGGAAGGCGGTGGCGGCGGCGACGGGCACATAGCGGCTGGGCCGGAGAGGGCGGCCCGGGGAGGAGGATGGGGGCGATGAAGAGGGGCCAGCGGCACCCCCACCCTTGCTGACCGCGGGCATCACACGCTTTCTTTCGGGTGAAGGGTCGGAGGGGGTGAAAACGAGCTCAAGGGCAGGAACAAGGAACAAGGCCAGCAAGTGGCAGACAGAGTGGAGGAAAGCTTCAGGGAAGAGCTTCACCCTCCGGGCCACATGCACTCTGCCTGGACATCGAAATATTTAACCAACCTCAGGTCCATCCTTAATCGTAATGAATAAAAATAACCAGAGAGCAGGAAGGTGCAACTGTGCACTCATGCAAACCAGACAGAAGCTCCTGAACACCTTCTGAGTAACTAAACGAAGTACACAGAAGGGAACAGGCACACTAGCAGAGGCTCCCTGAGAACGTCACCCTCTGGGGCTCGATAGGGGCACAGCTGGGGGTGCCTTCCGCACCATCCCGTCAAGCAGACAGCTCAGCCTCTCCTACACAGAGCTGCCTAATGCCCCAGGAAAGGCCCACGCAGAGAGGAACTGGAGAAGCCACACGGCCATCACTCAGAACCATTAAGGAACCGAAGTCAGAACCATGAGGTCATGGGGTCCAGTCCCACAAGGACACTTACACTGGTGCCCTTAAACCACCTTCTTGGCCATGGAGCAGCACAGCTGTGTATTAGAAAATGATAAACTACCAAAAGCACTCTGATGAATCATGTAAAAGTCACAACAAGATCATCATTTACTGGTTGCTTGGATGGTTAGAAGGTCTAAGCCTGGAATAAGTACAGCAGCTTAAAAGACGTCAGATTACACCCTGGACCTGAGACCTGAGGCTGAACACAGGCAGATTAACATAAGCCATGAAGAACAGCAAGGTGGGGGGGGGGGTCGGACCCCAGAGAGGGAACAGGGGGTGAGATGGACTGTAATCCTGGAGGAGATGGACACTCGGTGCGCTGCGCGATTTCAGTCAAACAGCAAAGCACCACTGAAGGCTCAGGCACGTATCCGGGTCAAGCCTCTCCTTACTGATCCAGCCTTCAGCTTCCAGACAAAACTCACAGGCCCAGTCTCTCTAAAAAGAAGTGAGCGGGAGCTGGGCAGCAGCGTGCTGGGGACACGGCACACTCCATGCTTCCCCAAAGAGACGGACTGCCCCTTCCACGGCGGCGACACAGGCCTCCCCCCAATCGGCAGTGGAGGACAGGAGGACGGCGGAGCCCGGGCAGGAGCTGCTGGTCAGGTAATACGCAGGAATGCGGGCATCCCTCCTTGCACAGCCAGAGGCTTCTGCTGGGGTCTCAGGGCAGCAGCAGCTCCTAAAACGAGAGAGGGGGTACTTTCCTTACCGAAAATCAACCAACGGAGGCAAAACAGATGAACAATATCGTCCTATTCCAGTGAATAAGAATACTGACGCTCTGTCAATATTCTGCGTGAGTGTTAGGTAGAATTTAAGTATAGTCCGCCTTCTATTAACATTTTGAAACACAAAAAGAGCACGGGCAGGCCAAATATGCCCATTCTCAGAGATGTTCCCACTCCAGCTAAACACATTTGACTTAATGCTTGACATTTACTTAAGTGCTTCTGCTCCACAGAACAACTGCCCTCATGCGCAGGAAGCGGCACCTGCAGCTCATAAAGTAACAGGAAACGGAACCTGTCCCGCTTTTCCCTCCAGCTCCGAGCACAGCGGAGCCATGCACGCAGCACTCTGCCCCCTGCTGGTCGCAGCTGGTCATCACCGCATCAGGACTGCCAACTCTGCTCAGCTGTCTGGCCTGAGATCTTCAATCCGAAACAAGTCTGCACACATATGTGAATGCATTTACATGTAGGTAAGAGTTTTATTGCCTTGTAAATAGACTGTAGGGCTTGCAAACTACCCCAATGCTTTTGATGTAGCTAATTTTAGGTTTATAATGGAATAATACATATTTGCCGTAAGATTTCTTGCGTGAGCATGACAGTCTGAAAGCGTGACCGTCACGCCAGATGCATGCGAGTTGGCAGCCCTGCATGACTATTACCGCCGTTATTTTTCATCTGCAGACAGGAAGAACCCTACAGGAATGTAAGCTGTAACCTTTGAAGTGTTAGATAAAACATCCAGTACTCACTAAAATATAGACATCTCTTCACAAAAAGGATAGAGGCAAAGCCTCAAGATGAATTCAAGTAAACAGCAGATTTTAAATGAAATTAAAATATTCAAACGAAACACCCAAGCGAGACATGCTGACCACCAAAGGAAACGGCGTGTCAGGGAGGCCAGCTGGCTGGTCAGCAAGACCAGCTTCCTGACACTCAGTGTGTTCTGTACACCAGCAGGCTGTGATGATCACCCAGAGCTCAGAGATCTCTGCAGTACCCCTGTCTGGAGCCACAGCGTGAATTCACCAGACCGGCACAAACTTCACCACCATTTGTTTCCTACATCTGCGCCACTCTTTTACTGGTTTGCTGGATGTTAGTGAGTGGCAGACTAAATCAAATCAAAGTTTATCAAAAAGCACAACAGAGGAAGATGCAGGCAATGTTGGGCATTTGATTAATGAACTGAACTGATCTGATCTGGTCTGGTCTGGTCTGTCTCTTGCCTGCATCCGGCAAACGAGGAAAATGATGCAGACTACAGCCAACTGCAGACTAAAACATGAGCTTGTGAGGCTGGGAACATGAGCATGTTTCTCCAGGACAGCAGAACAGACTCAAAATACTGAATAGTAGCAGATAGGTGTGTGAAAGTAGGAGGGCTAATATGTACGTTCCTGATAGCTGAATACTGTGTGGCAGCTTTCTATAACACCATAACTGGCGACGATGGACCACATCACAGCTCCAAGGATGTGCCCTCTGGTTAAAGCACTGGATAACACTGAGGGCTGCACATGCACATGAGGCAGAGCTGACAGCCACGATGCACCAGGCTGACCATCAGAGAAGCAGGCCGCTTTTAGCAGGGGGTCCGAAGCACGAGGCTGCGCTAGCGGAGCACCCCGCGCGCACTGTGCATATCCCACTTTCCCAGGTTAAAGGGAAGGTTAATGCCGTCTTTCACTGAATGCATCGATGCAAACTTGCTTCAGTCTGTCGGGCACAGCAGGCGGCAAAATTCCATGCCACGGCAGCCAAATGAAGCACCGGCACAGCGACCCTAAGCCAAGCCGCAGCTTCGCCATTAAAAAGCGTCAAGCTGCCCAATCCGCCGATCTGCACACAGCACATACTGACATGCAAGCCCTGCAGCCCCGATCAACTGTGTATCCCTCATTAATTTCATAAAGCCCCGTGTCGCCCCCCGGTCCGCCGCTAAGCAGAGCCCGTCCCTGTCGCTATGTGTCCAGCTGACGTACGCTTTAAGGACGGTCCGGCGCTCCGGCACTTTCCCTGGCGGCTCCATGCCGCCGCGAAAACCTCGCGACACACATTTCGGATCGTTTAAACGTGAAGCCCCTCACCCGTTAAGCCTGACAGGACCACACCCGGCGCAGGCCCCGGAAAATCCCCGGACTTTCCTGCTCACGAGCAAAGGCCAGGCCGCGACTGCAGAAGGGCCGCGACGTGTCCGATGGGCCTCGGGCGGGGACGGCAGGTCCGGAGCTCAGCCCTCACTCCCGGGCCTCCGGGAGAGCAGCAGATAGCCAGAAACGCCCCCCGCGCCCAGATAGGCGCCCTAAAATCACTATCAGTCCGTATCTCGCTGGTCAGCGGAAGCCGAGCAGCAGCCTAGAGGAAGCGCAGGGCACCGGTCTGACCGGAGTCGTCAGTGCAGCCCGGTAGCGCAGACGCATTAGCAAAGACGAGCATGATGAAGTAAACGCGTGCAGCACACTGCCCCCGCATCGGACACTGAAGACCAGCATGCACGGCAAACCTACAGAGCACAGTACACGCACAGTGACATGAACACTAACCTATACACCAACAGCGCAGAGTAACCTGTATACTAACCTCTACAGGAACCGCACACAATAACCAGTACACTAACATGCATACTAAATGTGTACGGTAACCTCAACACTAACCTTGGTACTAAATGGGCACCGTAACCTGAACACTCATCTAACCGTGCACGGAAAGACAGACACGAAGCTGTATACTAACCCGCCTAGCCGCATATCCACCTGCATACACGCAGACAGTCCCCGCAGGGCGCTTCTCACCGGAATGCACAAAAACACAAACCGAATGCGCCAGGCGCGTGGATAGCCGTTTCATTTCTACGTTATCGCCACAGGAGACACGTGAGAGCACTAAAGCGTATCGGTCTCGCCAATAACCCCGATCAATGAATGTCCCGGCCATAAAGTACCTCATCAAAGCCCAAGGGCCTCAAACCGTGAAAGCACCGCTGTAAGCGAAAGCCGACACCCTAGTCGGGCACCCGACCCACAGAGCCCTGGAAGTCGTGACCCCGCCCCTTTACGCTCATTGGTCAGCAAAGTTGCCACTCAAAAGAACAACGAGACACACGTGTCGATGGGCGGGACGTCATGATACTGTTTGAAATACAATACGTAGAATAAGCGGTGAATGACGAGAAGTCGTACACATGGGCGCAAATCAAAACCAGCTAATACAACCCCCTGGACCCGCTTAAATGGGTGGAGACCTCAACCCCCACAATGCTCAACCCAAAGTTATGCCCTTGGTCGTACCTACTGCAGATTCATGGAATATACACAGAACTCTGTAAGCAGGTCTTAGCAGGGGCAAAATGGAAAGTATCAGCATTATATTTAGAGTTTTTTAAGCTTGAGGGAACGATGGACAGCAAGATTAGGTCCCAGTGCGAGGAATAGAAATGGACCATTACAGTAATTTATCTGATTAACCAGCAATCCCCCATGAAAGTTGCAACAAATTACAAATGCTTCAAACAGATAAGAAAAATCAGTAATGGACATGGTAAGAGCAAACCACAGGACCTCCTGTTTACAGACTGTGGATGCACTCTGGAAAAAGAAAATCAAAATACAGTGGAAAAAGTCAGAACCTGGGGACTGAAGAAGCGGTGGAAAAGGGCCTACAAACCACTAAACTGGGAGGCAGAGCCAGCGCAACCTTTTCAGGGGGTCCAGGAAAAGCTTTACTTAGGAGGCCCCACCAGATGATCATTTTATTTTCACCACTACGCAGGTAATTCAGGCACCTGTCTATTGTGCCTTTAGTTAGAATTGACCTTACCGGGAGCTCTTCCTCACCATGGCAGCGGACCCACACTGGATGCGTGTGCGTTAAGGGTTTGGGAGCTCTCCCTCACCATGGCAGCAAACAAGCACTGTATGCGTGTGCGTTAGGGGTGTGGGAGCTCTCTCTCACCATGGCAGTGGACCGGTACTGGATGCATGTGCGTTAGGGGTGTGGGAGCTCTGCCTCACCATGGCAGCGGAATGGCACTGGATGCATGTGCTTTGGAGGTGTGCAGCCTCCCTTCAGCGTAAACCTGTTCATAAACTGTTAATATTACACTGGATGCGTGTGCAATTGGGGTGTGCGAGCTCTCCCTAACCATGGCAGCGGACGGGCACTGGATGCGTGTGCGGTTGGGGTTTGGGAGCTCTGCCTCACCATGGCAGCGGACCGGCACTGGATGCGAGTGCGGTTGGGGTGTGGGAGCTCTGCCTCACCATGGCAGCGGACCGGCACTGGATGCATGTGCGTTAGGGGTGTGGGAGCTCTCCCTCACCATGGCAGCAAACAAGCACTGTATACGTGTGCGTTAGGGGTGTGGGAGCTCTCTCTCACCATGGCAGTGGACCGGTACTGGATGCGTGTGCGTTAGGGGTGTGGGAGCTCTCCCTCACCATGGCAGCGGACCGGCACTGGATGCGTGTGCGGTTGGGGTGTGGGAGCTCTCCCTCACCATGGCAGCGGACGACCGCTAGATGCGTGTGTGTTAGGGGTGTGGGAGCTTTCCCTCACCATGGCAGCGGACGGGCACTGGATGCGTGTGCGGTTGGGGTGTGGGAGCTTTCCCTCACGATGGCAGCGGACCCACACTGGATGCGTGTGTGTTAGGGGTGTGGGAGCTCTCCCTCACGATGGCAGCGGACCCACACTGGATGCGTGTGTGTTAGGGGTGTGGGAGCTCTCCCTCACGATGGCAGCGGACCGGCACTGGATGCGTGTGCGGTTGGCGTGTGGGAGTCACCATGGCAGTGGACCGGCACTGGATGCGAGTGTGGTTGGGGTGTGGGAGCTCTGCCTCACGATGGCAGCGGACCGGCACTGGATGCGATTGCGGTTGGGGTGTGGGAGTCACCATGGCAGTGGACCGGCACTGGATGCGAGTGCGGTTGGGGTGTGGGAACTCTGCCTCACCATAGCAGCGGGATGGCACTGGATGCGTGTGCTTTGGAAGTGTGCAGCCTCCCTTTAGCACTAACCTGTTCATAAACTGTTAATATTACAACGTTTCACTGCTGAACAGTCTCGTCCTCGTCCATGATAATTCATGTCAAACCTCACAAACCAGCAGCACCCTTAACTGTAACCGAACGGCAGCTCAAGACCCGTCCAATGCCCTATTAAATAGCGCTAACCCCCGGGTTCAGGGTCCTGCAGTCCGTCCACAATCATTCTGCCCTCTAGGGAGACCCCCAATAACAGCAACACTAATAGCAACAAAACATGAGGACCAAGGGGTTTAAAGACACATCATGATGATTCACATATTACGGGGATGGTTCAATTGCATCATTCTGTAACATTAGACTCCAATGTTAGATTCTGGGGGGCATAAATCTCTTTAAAGATGAAGATACGCCTACTTCCAGGTCGTGAACTCTCAGCAGCCGGCACACAAATTTCTGAGAAGGGTCTGGTTGCAGACCTTACCTGTAAGTAAACCTCCTCTCTCAGTAAATCTCGCCTGAGGGTAAGGAAATTATGAAAATGACATATATGTAATAGAAGGAGATATTGGCTATGTCCGAATTCAGGGGCTGCATCCTTCTAAGGCTGCATTTGAAGACCGAATGGGTCACAGCAGCGCAACAAGGTTGTCCCATTTCAAAAGCTTGTTGAAATGCAGTCTAGAAATGCATCCTTCTTTTGCTGAATCGTGAAGGATCCACTCAATGGATCCTTCACAGCCCAACATATGCCAAGATTTATTGTGCAAAGGTAAAGTGGATGTGTCCTGCCCCTACAAGATTAACCGTGCTAAAGGTGTGCTCTTTCCAGTAGAGAAAATGGGATGCAATGCTATAAAGGGTACTTCTAAGTAGCAAGAAAACATGATGAAGTTCCGAAATAGCTGTCCTTCCAGTGGATAGAATGTGATGCAGTGCGGTATAATGTGTCAGTCCATGTGTGAAAATGTGAGGAATTGTCCTAATGGATGCCCCTCCAGTGGATAGAATGTGATGCAGTGCTGTATAGTGTGCCTGTCCATGCGTGGGAATGTGAGGAATTGTCCTAGTGGATGCCCCTCCAGTGGACAGAATGTGATGCAGTGCTGTATAGTGTGTCAGTCCATGTGTAATAATGTGAGGAATTGTCCTAATGGATGCCCCTCCAGTGGACAGAATGTGATGCAGTGCTGTATAGTGTGTCAGTCCATGTGTGATAATGTGAGGAATTGTGTGTGTTTGTGTGTGTGTGTGTGTGTGTGTGTTCTGATTATTGTAAACCATTGTGCACAAAAGCAAGCTCTCTCTTATGTCTGTGAAGGGTGAAGAATTGCCAGCTCGTTCTTCTGTTTATGGGAAAGTAAGAATCTGTAGTGCAGTGTTGATGCTTTGCTACTTTTTCTTTAAGTAAAAACACTTTTTAAGGTGTAGGCCTATGAGCAAGCCTTTAGTATTAAGTAATATTCACCTCCAGACTGCCTTCACCATCACCCTTCTCTCACATCATATTGCACTCCCCGCTGGGTCAGACTGTCACCGCGATTACTGCTGCTGTGCTGCACCTGGGCCAGCACCACCCTCACCACGCCATGCCACATCACCAACATACCGAAACACAGCGCAGTGTGTCCCAACAGGAGGGTCCCGGGCCAGGCCAGGTGTGCACCTCCCTCATCACTCTTCATCACATCACCAACATACCGAAACACAACACAGAGTGCCCTGACGAGAGGGTCCCAGGCCTGGCTGCACCTCCCTCAACATGCCACGTCACATCACTAACATACTGAAACACAGCGCAAAAGTGTCACAACAGGAGGGTCCCGGGCCTGACCTGCACCTCCCTTAGCACATCTCGTCACATCACCAAAATACCGAAACACAGCGCAAAGTGTCACAACGGGAGGGTTCCGAGTCTGACCTGCTCTTCCCTCAGCACATCTCGTCACATCACCAGCATAGCAAAACACAGCGCAGAGTGCCACGACTGGAGGGTCCCAGGCCTGATCTGCACCTCCCTCAGCACATCTCGTCACATCACCAACGTACCAAAACACAGCGCAGAGTGCCACGACTGGAGGGTCCCAGGCCTGACCTGCCCCTTCCTCATCACACCTTGTGACATTACCAACATACCAAAACACTGGAACTCGGCATGGCAGATCTCACCTCCCCATGGAAACTCAAGAGCTTCACTCAGTTGTACACAGATTCACTCTAAGGAGAAGAGGTCCCCCGAGGAAGGATCTGGTGCAAGAGCTGCAGAGTTGGGTGTGGAGTCCAGTCATTTTGTCACATCTCTAAGGAGGGAAGACCCAGATACACCCAGAGGTGGAATTGTCAGAGGTTTATTGTCAATCTGAAACCTAACAGATACCAAGAAACAGAAACTAAAGGACCTTGAGGAGTCAGACAGAAGAAAGACCAGGGCTAGCAGGGATCGGGAACACAGCAACAGGCAGAGGAATCACTAGCTACAACATAGAGGATGAAATTACATCATCGTTTTTATGACCCATTCAAACACAAATTACAAAATACAATTTGGAATTTCAAATTTTAAATACATTTATCAGAAATACTGCACGTCCCTGCTAATAGTACCACCAACATTGCATGTACAATGTAAACTTTTAAACATAATAACGAAACATCCCCAGCTTGAGGCGTTGATAATGACAGTAAGTAATGACAAATGTCCACAAGAGGGCGTTATCGTCATTTACTTTTGCGATAGAGAATATGCTAATTTAGCGTATTTATTATGCAGTTGCGTAAAACGCACTTAGGTCGTTACTGACTTAAAATTTTTTGGACATCCTGTT